AAAAAAAAAATGTGCTTTTGCAAAATAACGTTCATTGTAAAAGATTTTAAATCTAAAGCAATCACTAAGCCTTTACAACGTGCCAGGCCCTGCTCTGATTGCTGTGACACACGAGCTCGTTTACCTAGTACAAGAGTCCTATTAGTGGACTTTTCCTCTCTGAAGGGCCCTGAGTGCCCTGTCCTTGCCTTTACATCTCTGCTGGAATTGTGGCCCCAGTGCACACTACTCTGCCTTATGGAGATCTTTCCAGGTTAGAAACAGGTTTTGCCCCCGACTCCTCCTTTCTCATTGTCCTCAGCCTCTTCAGCCTATCCTGAGGATTTTTAGGAGATGCCTCCCACCCTGTCTTCTGCCCCACCGTCCTAAGACACTCGGCAGAGACCTGTGCAAGTCACGCAGCTGGGCAGCGACAGGGCTGGGGACTGGGCCAGACCCTCCAACTCTGCTATCTTTGGGAAATCTAAGCTTTTCCCCTTTTCCTTTAAAAGTGAATTTCGTTATGGCTGAGGGCAGAACTCTAAAGAGTAATAAAGGCCAAAGCGAGAGCTGGAGGCCAGCGGCTGCTTCCGAGCCGGGCGCAGCCAGGGCTGGGCACGTGGGCGTGGCCGCACGCTTCAGGGCCGCCCCGGAGGGGCCCCGCCCCCACCGCGCCTAAGGGGAGAGGCCCCGCCCCTACTCGGTGAGGGTCGGGTCTCCAGCACCATCTGGCCACAGGCTACGCGTTGGGCGGCGGCCAGAGGGCGGAGCTGCGCCTGCTAATCTCCGCCCCCAAAGCCGGGCCTCGCCGAACCCGCCTTTCTTCGAATATTACGCCTGCTCAGACAGTCGCCTCGCTAACCGTCGGACCTTCTGCGCTTGCGTACAACCGGCATTCCCTGGTAGCTTGAGGCGCGCAGGGCGGGAAGGGCGGGGTTGTCCTGAGACTGTGCGGCGGCGAGTGGGCCCTTCCTGAGGTGAGTGGCGTAGGCCATGGTCTGGGCGCCCGGGTGTGGGGCTGTTGGAGCGGCCGCTGTCCCTGTCTCTACGCCGCTGCCTCCTTTTCCCTGCCGTCCCAGGGACTCCTTTCAGGCGCCGCCGTGGGCGCCGCGTCTCGGGCCGGGCGAGCGACTGCAGGGCGGCCCCGAGCTCTGTGGAGCCGGGCACCTGCCCGAGGTCTTGTGACTGGCTTTACGCCGATTTGGCGGTTTTCGTAAATCTTTACTTCACGAACGTGCATACTGGATTACACCCCCCCAAACCCAAAGGTTTTCTTTTTCTTTTTTTTGGGGGGGGGGACAGAGCCTTAGTCAGCCTCGGTAGAGGGATGTAGCGTTACAGCTCACAGCAACCTCAGACTCTTGGGCTCAGGCGATTCTCTTGCCTCAGACTCTCGAGTAGCCGGGACTACAGGCGCCCCCACAACGCCCGGCTATTTTTGTCATTGTTGTTTAGCTGGCCGGGGCCGGGTTCGAACCCGCCGCCTGGGTGCCTGTGGCTGGCGCCCTGACCGCTGAGCAATGGGCGCCAAGCCGACCCAGAGGCTTTGGCCGCTAGCGTGTTAAGTACACCGCCACTTGAAAATCTTTAATCCATAGGATTTGTCGCGGTCCCCTCTGTCGCTTGGCTGAATCATGGTGGATTATTCAGTGGTGTGTTTGTTGAAAGCAGCGAAGACGGTCCAGGCGCGGGGGCCACGCCTGTGATCCCAGCTATTGGGGAGGCCAGTGCGGGCGGATCGCCTGAGCTAGGAGTTCGAGATCCTAGCTCTACTAAAAATAGAAAAACTAACTGGGTGTTGTGCCGGGTGCCTGTAGACCCAGCTGCAGGGGAGGCTGAGGCAGGAGGATCTCTGGAGTCCAAGAATTTGAGGTTGCTATGAACTGTGACGCCACGGCACGCCACCGGGGGCGACGAAGTGAGACTATGTCTCAAAAAATAAATAATAATAAAACCAAAGGCCTGAAATACTTAGACCGGGTGACCACTTGGTTCTTTGGTTTTCTCTGCACTCAGTCAATAGTATCCAGAGATCGATTCGTGCGTGCTTGGTGAATGCTGTGACTACTTGAGGTAAATATCTAGTTGATTCTTATTTTTAAAAATTACTGTGGCTCGGCGCCTGTGGCTCAAGCGGCTAAGGCGCCAGCCACATACACCTAAGGTGGC